ATCTCGCTCGTGCCGTCCTGCGGCGGCGTCGAGCTCGCCGCCGAGGCCGACGGCGCGGACCGCGACGCGCTCGCGCTCGCGCACGATTGCGCCGTGCCGCTGCTCGCCGCGTTCGCGCTCGACGACGCGACCGCGCGGCCCTCGCGGCCGCTCGAGGCCCTCGTCCGCGACCTCGGCTTCGGCGCGCTCCGAGGCGCGCTCGCGCCGCCGCGGCTCGAGCTCGTGCGCGACTACGCGCTCGCGCGCGTCGCGGACGTCCGGAGGCGCCTCGCGGCCCTCCCGCCGGGCACGCCGGCGCGGTTCTCGACGGTGATGCGGCGCGCGGCGGGCCGCTACGACGTCGCGCTGCCCCACGACGACGACGAAGTCCTGGCCCGCCTGCTGCCCGACTCCGCGGCGCCCTGGCTCGGCGCGGTCCGGGCGCTCCTCGGCGATCGAGCGCGGCGGGTCAAGGCGGGCGTCGTCTTCTCGCTCCCCGGCGCCCCCGCGCAGCCGTGGCACGCGGACGGCCAACATCCGCTCGCGGCCGACGGGACGTCGACGAGCTCGCCCATCCCCCAGCACCGCGCGGCGGCGTAAGCTGCTCTAACGCTACCACAGTATAAAGTCGCTCCGGCTCGCGATGGGCGCGCTGCACGCGGGGCATTACCGCTTACGTTTAAAATGACGCGCCTACGCCTCCGCGTCGGGGATGCGGTCCCAATAGCTGCCGTCTTCTCCGGGCGAGTCCCGACGCACGCGGTACTTCGGCTTCACGCCGCGCTTGCCGTCGGACAAACGATAACCCGAGGCTGGAGACCTTTTGTGTGGACCGCCGTCCGAGGCATGGTTGTATGGGCATCGCTTTTTCAAGTCGCTACTGTTTTTTGGGCCGCAACACCTGTTTCGCGCCTCCCGAGGACAGGGCCGATCGGTCGACGCGCGAATTTCGGCGTCGTTGACGTCGTTCCAGGCGGGCGTGAATGTGACCCCGGTCTTCGCGGCGTTCATATTTGAGGCCGCTTTGGACCTCGATTCAGCGACCTCGCGGATTCTTCGCGCACCATCCAGCGCGTACGACCTTTGAATCTCGGAGACTGCTTCGTCCACGTCCTCCATCTTGATGAGTGGCGGCGCGAACTCGGCGTTGTACGCCCCGGCGCGCGAAGTGGACGTGCGCGCCTCGCCGTCGTCGGCGTCGTCGTCGGCGTCGTCGGCGGAGCCGTCCGTCG